CGGTACAAATTTCCTCAAAAGGAAATTCACATTCACCTCCTCTGTCACTCCTTATTATTTTAATTTTCTTATTCAACTGAGTTTCAACTTCGGACTTATAAGTTCTAAAAGCATTCACAGCCTCATCTTTGCTACTAAGCAAATAAACATAACAATACCTCGAGCAGTCATCTATAAATGTGATAAAATACTTATTACCACCTCTTGACGGTATTGATTTCATATCGCATATATCTGTGTGTATTAAATCTAAAGGTTCTGAGACTCTATTATCTACAGAATGGAAAGGAGGCTTAGAAAATTTAGATTCAACACACACTTGGCATTTCTCACTTGGACAGTCAAATTTCGGCAACAGTCCCATATTCATTAATTTCTTTATCGACTTATAGTTAACGTGTCCTAGTCTAGCATGCCAAATATTAGAAGACTCAAGCACATAAGTAGAAGCAACTTTATTCAAATCATCCTTGGTTACAACAGTCATTACATTCAGCTTGAACAAACCATCACTCAGATAACCCTTTCCTACATACATCTCATTTTTGGAGAGTACAAACTTATCAAATACAAAAACCAACTTGAAGCCATTCTTGCTAATGAGAGATCCAGACACTAAATTCTTGCGAACATCTGGCACATGCAGAACATTATTTAGTGTCACATTCTTTCCAGATGTCATCTTCACAGCAATCTTTCCGACACCTTCAACCTTAGAGGTTGATGAATTACCCATATAAAGTTTTTCATCACCCCCCACAATTGTATAGGACGAGAACATCGATCTGTTTGCACAGATATGACGAGTTGCTCCAGTATCAATCCACCACTCCTTGGGGTTTCCCACCATATTACACTCGGATATCATAGCAGTCAGATTGATATCATCAACACCATTGGAAATCTCTTCCATCACATTAGCCTGAGTTTTCTGTCTTTTCTTGGCTTTGCAGTCTTTGGCTCGATGTCCAGACTTGCCACAGTTGAAGCACTTGCCAACGAACTTCTTCAGGCCTTGGGTGAATCCCTCTCCAGACTTGCTAGGCATTTTCCTCATCTTGTTGGGTTTCGATCCTTCTTCAACAACATTGGCCTTTGAAACCTCTAGGTTCTTCCCAACTTTCTTCTCAGAGAGCCTATTGTCTTCCTCAATTCTCAACCGAACAATCAAGTCTTCAAGTGACAACTCCTTTCTCTTGTGTTTGAGATAATTTTTGAAATCTCTCCAGGATGGCGGCAGTTTTTCCAATGAAGGCAGCCACTTGAAATGACTCACTTAGAGTCATTCCTTCAACATGAATATCAGGCATAATCACTTGAAGCTCTTGAACCTGACTTAAGACGGTCTTTGAATCAACCATCTTGAAGTCCAGAAGTTTACCGACAATGAATTTCTTCAATCCGGCATCTTCGGTTTTGTATTTCTTGTCCAGACTATCCCATAACTCCTTAGCCGTTTTCAGCGGACTATAGACGTTATAGAGAGTATTGTCCAGACGGTTGAGGACATAGTTGCGACACAGGAAGTCAGAATGCTTCCATGCATCCACAGCAGCAACCTTTTCTTTATTTGTCTCTCCAACATCCAATTTAGGACCATCCTCATTGAGGAATCTAGCCAAGTTCAAGGTCGTGAGATAGAACAACATCTTTTGTTGCCATCTCTTGAAATCTGTACCATCGAACTTTTCTGGCTTTTCTCCGTGATTCGGAATAGGGTTGACTGGAGTCAAAGTCGAAGCAATTTCTGAAATACAAAAACAGAACATATTCACGAACAGAATCGAAAATATATGACTACGAACATAATCGTTTGTTCAAGAACAGAATTGAAAATTTTTAATATGAACAGAAACGAAAATTTTTTTCACGAACAGAATTGAAAAATTGTAACAGGAGCAGAATATATGTATGAACAGAATCGTAACGCCAATCTAGATATTTGACAGAAAAACTCAATGAACAACGCATAAGAATACGCAAACCATGCAAATCATTATACGAACAGAACCGAAGATAATTGAAAACAAAATAACATTTCAATGGAAATTCGTCTTAAGATTGTAGTCGGCTAAGTTCGTATACCAGAAATTGAAATCAAACGTCAAGAAAACTAACCTGAAAGCAGTACAAATAAATAAACAGGATGTTGATCCGAGCCCAACGAAGTAACGTTGTGTCTTTAAGACGAATTTGGCCCTTCAATCAGTACCCGGGGATATTGGACAATCGTCTCCTAGGATAGAATGGATCTCGTTCCTCTGAAGTGGTACGTATCTAGAGGACTCCTTTGAACGCAATTTTGCATAGACAATCGCAGAGAATGAATGTGTTTCAGAAATGTCAAAAAATGCGAAGAAGATTTTTTTCGGAAAAAACCGACTGCAATATATAGTCACGGTTTTTAAAAAAAAATGAAGAGTCACAAACGAACCGAATTGTCTCATTCAGTCATGAACTAGTCGGTCGGTTTATTAATGAAGAGTCACGAACGAACAGTGTTCGTTCAAAGAGAAAATTAACTTCCAAGAACCGAACCAGTCCATTCGTCCAAAAACAGAACAGACATCAAACATATTTGTTCGAATAAAATAAAATAAAAAATTCGAAAACAAACATGTCTGTTCGGTCGGGAAAACAAAATCGATGGGCAGACCTCGTCCCGAGCCGAGCCGGCCGGACGGGCGGCGGCACGCCCGCGAGGGGAATTGGCGTAGGTCCTCTCTCTTCCACAAAAGTGGGGTACCCCTTGGGGCCCAAATCCATTTGTGAGGCTCAACTATTTAAACCCATCTCCCATCGCTCTTCTATTCAATATGGGACTCCTCCATCCACACCTCTTATTCACTTTACAAGGGATTTGTACCCAAAAATCCAACAGCTATTGCCATCTGCACCGGCGACGCTGCTCACTGCTTTCGTTCTAGCCCGAGCCATTGCAGTCCCGACGACCATAGCCGCTGCCGCCGCTCCTGTCCCGATCTCATCGCTATTCCTAGGTTCAGGATCACTTTCAACGAGCTGTTCCGTACCACAAGCAACGCTGAGCTCCTGCAACCTTCAGCTTGCAGCATCCCTGCTGTTTGCGTTGAGTTCAGGAGCCCCATTGTCGAAGATCCCTGCACTACGGCGGCTTCCTTTTGGTCTATCTCCTCCCTTTCACAACGGAGAAGTACTTTCTATATTGTAGATTTTTTAGCGAGCCCCACCGAATTCTTGCTGTGCAGTGAGTCATGACATCCTTGCTGTGTCACTACCGTGAACCATCCACACCAAGTAGCCAAGCTAGTGGCTATTCTTGGTCGCGAACCACTGTCCGCCGGTACAAACTTGGAAAGCAAATATTCGAATTAGGTAGAAATCTCATCTAATTGATTTTCGAGTATATTATTTTGTTATTTAAAATATGTAAATCTTGTGTGAATCTTTGAGTAATATTATCGTATCCAATAAGTTCCCGAATAACTTTTAAATTATGAATTATTTCCTAATTTTCTAACGTGCTATGGTCGTCAATCCAATCTCCCGTCCAAGATATGATTCGCGATCGCATGGAAAATCGTTAATCCGATTTCCCGCCCGAGATACGATTTGCGATTGTGTGGAAAAATTGGCCAATCATATCTCATGCCCGGGATATGATTCGTCAATCTATCGTTTCTAAATTTAAATGGATATCGGTAATATTTTGTGATATGGCGTCGTTTGATTGCTATTTCTTTCTATCTTTGTTTGATTTGAATTGATCTTGTTTTTTCTAAAAAATCCAAAAAGATTAGATACTATTGAAGTAGATGATTTTAAAGATAGATTGCATGTTTAAATTAAAGAATTTACTTAATTTCGAATTTCATAGAAAATTATAAAAAATACCACGTGCATGTCATATTAGAGTAGTTGCATATAAATTAATTCTTGTCATTAGAAATCTCACGTCTAGGTTCATTTGCGTGCCACATTAGAGATAGTGCATTTAATTGTTGTTAGAATTAGGACATTTAAATAAATCGTATGTCGCATGTCATACTAGACATAGAATGCATTGCATAAAGTTTAGTTTTCGTTAAATCAGAGAAAACCCTAAAAAAGATTTGAGCGAAATTGCTTGTTAATTAGAAATCATATTAGGATTGTCAATGTGATCTTCTAATTAGCATTGCAGATGCTTTCGCTGCTTTGAGGTAAGTCCCTATCTATTGAGTATTTTGTTATTGGTTGCGCACCCGCATGATCACCTTGCATGTTAGTGGATAGATTTAAAATCAATCCAAGCTGCCTGCAAATATTTTTTTGAAATAAAAAAAAAAGGTACCGAAAGGGCATTAAAGTAATCTAGTGTAACAAAGTCCCCGAATCCATAATCTCTGGTTCGTAAGAGTAAAGTAATTATTCCGATACTTTACTTGGGTTTCTAATCGACCCACTAAAAAATAGATTAGTGGCAACTCCTGGTTGAAATGATTTGCATGTTAAGAACTTAAATCTTAAGCCATGAATTGGTAAAGGCTTGGGAGAGTCCGCGTTAAGTCTAGGCTTAATAATCTATTAACCGAACCCCTAGGTGATGCACTGCGGAAGGTTTAGGTCGCGACAATCATATTTTCTATGTCTTCCGGTATGGACGCCATAAAAGTGCAAAGCTTGACTCGCTCTTAATCTGGAGAGAGTATTGTCACCGAAGATTCTAATTGTGATAATTTCCATGACCTTATACTATGAAAACGACTGGCGTTCACCGGAAAAAGGAAAATAATTAGTACAACCATGGAAAGGCCCATCAAGAAGCAGGAAAAATTACCAAAAAAAGTCTTAAATTTATTGCAATTGTGCCAATTCAGTCATAAACTTTTTTTTAGCCAATTCAGTCATAAATCTTTTGCAATTATGCCAATTCAATCAATTCGGCTAATTTTAATAGTTTTAGGACTTTTTTTTGATAATTTTTTCTCGAGAACCACCAAAACCACATATTGAATGACCCATCAGTATCAGAAGAATACCTGAATCATCCTTGTTCTCAATCCAAAGCTCGTGCAGCTCCCGAATGGCCACGTCCGCTTCTGAGGCCTGAATAGGGTTGAGCAAGGAGTTGACCCTCCGGCTCGAGAGCAGCTCCAAGGTGGCCATCTTCCTCACCTCGCGCCAGTACTGGCCGTAAGGCATGAACACGAACATGGCGTAGGAGTAGGCCAGGATCTTCGGGGCCAATTGCCGCGGCCGAGTGGACAACGTGACGTCGTTCTTGGCGAAGCACTCCTTGGCCATCTCGGAACCGCTCACCACTAGGGCCAGGAACATCCCGAGCTGGATGGTGAAGATGGGTCCGTACTGGTCAGCCATCACTACAAAAAAACACGAAATTTGCGACGAACGTTTTTCCGTCGCAAATTTGGGACGGAATTTGCGACGGATTGTATTTTCCGTCGCAAATTTGCGACGGATTTTGCGACAGTTTTATTTTCCATCGGAAATTTGCGACGGAAAATACAATCCGTCGCAAATTTGCGACGGAAAAACGTTCGTCGCAAATTTGCGACGGAAAATACAATCCGTCGCAAATTCCGTCGCAAATTTGCGACGAAAACTAAGTCCGTCGCAAATTCGTAGTTTATCAGCCCGTGATATTCCAACCCTATCTCTCACTCTCGCTCTCTCTCGCTCTCTCTCGTTTTTCTCTCTCTTTCGTTTGTCTGAAATCAGCAAAATCCGCGCACGCACATATTAATCTCGGTGAAGCTTTTGTACCGGTAAGTGTCGTAGCTAGCTTCGTGACTATTCGTCGTTGCATTGTAATTTCCGTTTTTTTAATATATGTTTATGTTTATTTTTTTTTTGTATCTGCATCACCGGTTTAACGACCGGCGACACCTCGCCGGCCTTTGGATGAGGCCGAACGGCCACGCCGTTTTGCGACGGAAATAGTTTCCGACGCAAATTTGCGATGAATAAATGAAATTCTGTTGCAAATTTGCGACGGATACTATGTGCCGTCGCAAATTTGTGACGGATACCTGATTCCGTCGCAAATTTGCGACGAATAAATGAAAATTCCGTCGCAAAATTGCGACGGAAAGTAGTATCCGTCGCAAATTTGTGATGGATACTAGGTTCCGTCGCAAATTTGTGACGGCATGTAGTATCCGTCGCAAATTTGCGACGGAACTTATTATCCGTCGCAAATTTGCGATGGCACGTAGTATCCGCCGCAAATTTACGACGGATACTACGTGCCGTCGCAAATTTGCGATGGAACCTAGTATTTGCGACGGATACCTGATTCCGTCGCAAATTTGCGATGAATAAATGAAAATTCCGTCGCAAAATTTGCGACAGAGTTGAGTATCCGTCGGAAATTTGCGACGCAAAACTAATTCCGTCGCAAATTTGCGACGGATACATTCCGTTTCCATCGTACATTAAAAATTATTAAAAAATGATTCTTAAGTGATTGTTCTTTTTTGGGTATGTGCCTAATTGAAGGTCTCGCAATCCAAGTGGACGTTGCAATTCTCATCAAATTGATCACTTTCTCCTACAAATATTTCAGTCAAATATTTGGGTAAGTCTTCTTTACATTGTAGTTTTTTCTATTTTTGCAATTTGATATTAATTGTTGCGTGAATAACAAAAATTATAATTTCCAAAATTTTACGACTTTAATTAACAACAATAGATATGATATTTTAAATATTTTACCAGAATTTTTTATTTTAATACAGACACAATGCAAAGAGAAAGGGCTTGGATGTATAATAAGAACTTACCTGGACGTCAAGGATTGACGGATGAGTTTCGTCTTGGGTTGGAACTATTTTTAGACTTTGCTAGTAGTAAATATGAGTTTATGGATGGAAAAAAGTTAAGGTGTCTGTGTAAAAAGTGCGGTAATGGTAAATTTCTTGTGTGTGATCAAGTTAGAGAACACCTTATTAGATTTGAGTTTACTCCGAACTATTATAATTGGACTTCCCATGGTGAACCATTTATATCTGATGAAGGATATGGAAGAAGTGACCAATTTTCAATTAGGGAAGAATGTGGCTATTATGAGCAATTGAACCCATACGAGAGGATGGTGATTGATGCAGCTAGTTATAATTTTGTCACAGAAGCAAATCATGCGAGTACTAGTTTTACTCCTACACGTGAACAAGTGGGTACTAGTCATGCTTCACAATTGGAAGATATAGGAGTAACGGGTTTTGAGGAGAATGTGTATAATGAAACTTTTCAATCTAATCAGTTCTGGGATGTCTTGAAAGCAGCAGATGAACCTCTATGGACGGGTTGTGAGGACCACACTAAGTTATCGGTGACAACTCGACTATTAAATATCAAGGCAGAGCATAATGTGTCTGCGGATTGCTTCAACTCTTTTGTTGAAGTAATGCGGGAATCATTGCCTTGTGATAACAACATGCCAAGTGATTTTTATGATATGAAAAAGCTAGTGGATAACTTAGGTCTTCCGGTTGTAAGGATTGATGTATGTAGTAGGGGTTGTATGATATATTGGAGAGATGATGAAAATGCAGAATCTTGCAAATTCTGTAGCCAACCTAGGTACAAGATTAACAGGAGGCCGGGTCGTAATCAGAAGCGTAAACCATGCAAGCAAATGTTTTATCTGCCCTTAATCCCCAGATTGCAAAGGCTTTATGCGTCTAAAGCCACTGCTGAACACATGACTTGGCATGCAAATCATGAAACAGAAGAGGGTCTAATGTGTCATCCTTCAGATGCATAGGCATGGCAACATTTTGATAGAACATACCCTGAGTTTGCAATGGAGCCTCGGAACATCAGGTTAGGTCTCTGTGCCGATGGATTTGCTCCATTTGGGAGAACAGGAAAAAGTTATTCATGCTGGCCAGTTATCTTAACGCCGTACAATCTTCCACCTGGTATGTGCATGAAGACACCTTATATGTTTTTGACATTGATCGTGACAAGGCCGCAAAATCCGAAAAAGTTGATAGATGTTTATATGCAACCATTGATTGAGGAGTTACAACGGCTATGGGTTGAAGGTGTCCCTACGTATGGCGTTTCTACCGATCAAACATTTGTTATGAAGGCTGCCCTTCTTTGGATGATAAATGACTTTTCAGCTTACGGAATGTTATCTGGATGGAGTACAGCTGGGATCTTAGGATGTCCGATATGTTTGGAGAGGACAAAGTCATTTAGATTAAAACATGGAAAGAAGCCTAGCTATTTTGACTGTCACAGACAATTTTTATTGCCAAGTCATCCTTTCAGAAGGAATAAGAAAGAGTTCAGCAAGAATAGGACTGAAAGAACGCGTCCACCATTGAGGTTGACTGGCAATCAAATTTGGGAGCGTGTGCAGGACTTTCCAACTGTTGTTGAAAACCCGCACGGCACGACTTTTGAGTACGGAAGTACACATAAGTGGACAAAACGCAGTATATTTTGGGATCTACCATATTGGAAGGCCCATCTTATTCATCATAATCTTGACGTCATGCACATAAAAAAGAATGTTTTCGACAATGTCATAAATACTGTGATGGATGTCGCCGGAAAAAACAAAAGACAACTTGAACGCAAGAAAAGATATGAGAGATATTTGCGATCGGCCAATACTAGCTGTGGATGCAAGCAGCAGGGGACCAAAACCGAAAGCAGTTTATACATTGGATAAGGAGCAGAGGCGAGTTGTTTGTCAATGGTTGAAATCTGTGCGGTTTCCTGATGGATATGCTTCGAACCTCGGGAGATGTGTTGATTTGAAGGAATGCAAGTTGACAGGTTTGAAGAGTCATGATTGTCACATCCTGATGGAAAGACTAATTCCAATAGCTTTGAAGGAAGTTTTACCGAACTTTGTATGGGGCGCCATTACAGAATTAAGCAATTTCCTCCATGATATTTGCTCGACAGTGTTAAAAGCATCGCACATGGAAAAACTAGAGAGAGATATTCCAATTATTCTTTGCAACTTAGAAATGATATTTCCTCCAGCGTTTTTTGATTCGATGGAGCATCTCTTAGTTCACTTGCCTTATGAGGCCAAAGTTGCAGGTCCCGTCCAATTTCGATGGATGTATCCATTTGAGAGGTAATGTTTTCTTTAAAATACAGTTCAAATGAGTTTATCATATAATATGTCCCGATAAGCTTCTTTCTATTTCAACTAGATTCTTATATCATTTGAAGAAAAAAGTGAAGAATAAGGCACATGTTGAAGCTTCAATTTGTAATGCATATATTGTGGAAGAAGTGACGACATTTGCATCGTACTATTTTGAGCCGCACGTTCAATGCAAGAGGCGGAGAGCAGGCAGAAATGATGAGGGCCCTATTGATCCCAATTGCACAGCATTCTCTATTTTCAATTATCTGGGTCGACCAAGCGGCGCATGTCAGTTTCGTTACTTATCAGGCGAAGAACTTCATGCAGCCCATACTTATATTTTACTGAACTGTCCAGAAGTCGAGCCATACTTCAAGTAAGTGTAAATTTGTAAATATATGTTTTTAATGATATGGTTTTTAATATTAGGATTTTCCAAACTTCAATGTTTGGACTACAACTAAATGAGTTTGACCGTTTGTGCGATGAACAATTTGCAGCATGGTTCAAGACATATGTAAGTTGCCTATGGATCAAAACCACGTTATTAAAATTATATACATCATTTAGTTAAATATATATTATTAGCTTTGCATGTATAACCTTAGGTTCACAGTAATTATGATGAAATTGGAGGGCAAGGATTGCTACATTATCTGTCATGGGGTCCACAGTTAAGAGTTCGAAGTTGGCCAGCATATTTCATAAATGGATATAATTTTCATACTCAAGAATATGGAATGGGAAAATCCACAATGAATAGTGGTGTGTCTGTTCGGTCATCCAATGGTGACAGTTCGAAAGATGATTTTTATGGCTTGTTGGATGAAATCATAGAAATAGAGTACCCTGGACCATTAAAGATGCGAGTTGTGTTATTTAAGTGCACGTGGTTTGACCCCGTCAAAGGAATGAAGGTACATACGAAGTTCAATTTGGTTGAAATAAATCACAAGAAAAGGTATATGAAGTATGAACCATTTGTCTTGGCACAACAAGCAATTCAAGTATGTTATGCATTATATCTTAGTTTGAAACGTGACAAAGCTGATTGGTGGGCTGTATGTAAAATCAAAGCACGGAGGAAAATCGAGGAACACTGAAAGGATAGAGCTTACCAACAGGAGGAAGTGTCTAACATGGTTGAAATTGAGGAATATAACATATCAACTTTATGAGATCCGTGTGGAGCAATGATAGATGTGGAGCCAACTGAAATTTGCGAGTTAAATGTACAAGAATGTTCATAATATGATTTTTAGACAGATGACGAAGACGAGGACGAGGACGAGGACGAGGACAAGGACGAAGACGAAGACGAAGACGAAGACGAAGATTAAAATTTTTGTCACAAAACACTACAGATGTGTAATTATTAATGCTAGAGGTGCTATTTTGGTTGTTATCATTATTGTTCTTGTTATTATTATTATTGTGCTTTTTTATTATTGTTATTGTCGATTATTCTTTTTATTTTAATTGATCGTCCGAAATTTTGTCCCTAAATGCCGACAAGTCTAACATTATTAACGTGCCCTAACATTTCCGATATTCTAATTTCTATTGCAACATTTGAGATGCCTAAATTTTGGATTGAAAAAAAGATGTAGCAAATTTAGGACCCAAATAAATGAGATGCTAAATTTTTTACCGAAAAAAAAATTCACAAATTTATAACGTTCATGTAGTATGTGCATATTTGTGCCGGACTCAAGCTGTCCGTCACAAATTTTGCAAGAGAATTTGTACCGTTCGAAATTGTATACGGATAATTTAATCCGTCGCAAATTTGCAACGGAATTTTTTTACGTCGCACATTTGCGACGAATTTTTATTTCTGCTGGAAATTTTTTGTCAATCGCAAAATTTGCGACCGATATAGAATACCTGTGGCCACGAATTTTTTTAGGGCCCAAAATTTTTTTTTGCAATAATAATAAATTTTTTTCTTACAAAACTGTACAGAATGACTCAGAATACCTGTGGCCACCCACTTTCAGTGAAATTTAAATTTTTGTACGTTGTCAAAAAAAATTTAATCAAAATGAATGCGATTCATATGTTTAATACCTGTAGCCACCCAAATCGTGCTCATACATTGATGTTTCATATCAAAATGAATGAGATTCATAGTATATTTATTTGTAGGAAATTGCACGTCATAAACACTCGACATTGGCTCATTTCAAGGAAACATTTTCTCAGTCTTTCCATCAAAATGGTAAGCTTCGTCGTGTACATCATTATGTGTTCGTAATACGTGTCAATAGTTCTTTACATATTCGCATAACCTTCCTACTTGTCAGTTTAAACGTGGAGGTCACATGCCTAGAAGACAAGGCTCTTCCTCGTCCTCGTCCCCGTCCCTTTCCTCTTCCCCTGTCCCGGCATCTAACCCTCAACCACAGTATGGTCCGTCACAATATGGACACGTTGGCCCTTCCTCCAACACTCAACAACATGTTATGGGACTTGGCCACATGCGAACTGAACGTTCTCCAGTTCAATCTCCTTTAGCTCCCTCTCCTTCCGTTCCACCCCATTATTCGGCGGAACAATCGAATATTGACGGAAACATAGGTCAAGAAGATAACCGATTCTTCATATGCCCATTTGGAGATTCGTAAGTACTTCATTTTTATTTTAGTATATGTAATATTTAGGGCTTTAGATATTGATGTCAATTGAATTGTCCATGTTGCACAATATTTATATGAATGCAGATTCACGAATGCTCCGTCTGTTGTGAGGGAATTGAACAAAATAGTAAGAAACTTTTGGATGGGAGAGTATATTACTTACAGAAATGTTCCACAAGAAGTGAAAGAAATGTGGTGGAATGAGTTCAAGGTAAGTTTTACATATTTTATTTTCTCACCAATTAAGTGTGGTGTAGTATATTGATGGTCAAGAATGATGTAAAGGGACCATAACAACTCTGTAGTTTTCGATACCTAAAGGACCAGATATTTTCCCCGACATGAACTTTACAAAATCTGTCTATATTTGTCTGGTGCATGGTTATGGATATGTAATCATCATAATAATTTTCAATTTGTGTTTTTATTCATTGCAGCGGAAGTTCAAGTGGGAGGAAGCGGAAGACAATGAAGTGAGAAGAATTTTCGATAAGAAAATAAGTGATTTTATGCGAAATGTCATGAATAGAGCGAAGAGCAAGCAAGCGAAGCCGTCTTTCTTTATAGCTGACAATTGGGAGGCAATTAACACATTTTGGGCATCTGAACAGAGTCGGCAACTCTGTGAGCAGAATAAAAAGAATCGATCTTCTAGTTCTAGTGATGGGTCAGCCACATATGCTGGGGGCTCTATCAACATTGCGGAGCATCGCAAACGAATGGTAAGTTTGTTAAATGAGTTATAAGTTAATTTAATTCAAGTACTCATGTTTACATTTTGTAGGCACATGAATTGGGGACGGAACCGACATTTGCAGCTACATTTGAACGCACATTTCAAAAGAAAGATAAGACATGGACTGGCGATCGAGCAAAAGCTGTTAAGGTATGTAAGGTTATACTTTGGCTTATATGTAAACTATAATGAAAACTGTGAATGCTTTCAATATTTTTGGTAGATATATATAGTGATTTTATTTTCATCTACATTGTTAATGTAGGAAAAATATGATGAACTTTTAATGAGCAATGCTAGTGGTAGTGATGATTGTCCTGAGTCCCGGCCACCAGTTGATAATATGGCATTATGGATGGAGGCAACGGGTGGGGCGAAAAAAGGGAAAATATTTGGGATGGGATCATTATCAAGGATGTTCATGCCGAATAGTCCTGGAAGTTCATCATCCACTGGGACTGGTCGAAGGAGGTCACGACCAGACGAGCAATTGACCCAAGAAGTGCATCGTCTGAATAATTTACTTGTTAAGAAGGATGAACGAATACATAACTTGGAAGAACAAATGAGAGTCGTTATGCAACACCTTAACATCAATCGCTATGGCGATCCTCCTGTACCTCCAACCAATCCAGTAGGTGATGGGTACAATGATGACCAATACATTGATGCCGAGAATGCTGCTGATGATGATGATGATGAAGATTTTCTCCGGTCTTTCTAGTTAAAATTCTCAAAATCGGGGGTAAGCTTGCTTCATAATCTTGGTTTTTCATAATTTCACTCATATTCATATGTAAGAACATTTATGTTCGTCCCGAAACGTATTTTTGTTAACCCTTTTGTTATTTTACACCTAGTTCCACATTCATGCATAAACGCTTTTTTTATATTCTGGACTGATTTATGTATCGACATTTTCTCAGGTATCGACAAAAGTGACTACTTTTGGTGTCCTGCCATCGTACCAAAGCCGCGTCTTCTTCTGTATGGTTTTTTTGCGTCTTCTATGGTTGTCCCGTCTCTTAGTTCATGTTTTGACTGTATTGTAAGATTGGATATCAAATAGTATCATGTCAGACTCTACAACTTTCCTTCTGTTATTTGTTTCAATTATATGTCATTGTGGCTGGTTTGTCAGAATTTATGGTTTGTTCGTTTTTCTGTTTCAATTATATATCATTGTCTCCTTTGATTGATATGGACAAGAATTTATGGCCGAAATGATATAAAAATAGCGACGAATATTTTAAGTCGAATTTTGCTATCATTAAAGTTTGTCACTAATTTGCGACGAAATTCGCGACGAATTTTCTGACGAAATTCTCGACAAATTTTACGACGAAAATTGCGACGAAATTTGCGACGAATTTGCGACGGATTTTTGCGACAAATTTTGCGACGGACAAACGTGCGTCGCAAATTTACGACGAATCTGCGACGGATTTTTGCGACGAATTTTGCGACGGATCGAGTTCGTCGCAAATTTGCGACGAAATTTGCGACGAAATTGTGACTGATATTTGCGATGAATTTTGCGACGGATCGAGTTCGTCGCAAATTTGCGACGGAATATTTGCGACGAATTTTGCGATGGACTATGTGCCGTCGCAAATTTGCGACGAATTTTGCGACGAATTTTTTTTCGTCGCAAATTTGCGACGAACTTGTGAATTTTCCGTCGCAAAATTTTGCGACGACCGAGTAGCGACGGAAAATATTCCGTCGCAAATTCGATTTGCGACGGATTTTTCCCCGTTTTCCGTCGCAAATTTCGTCGCTAATCCGGTTTTTTTTTGTAGTGCATGGATGCTAAGGTCTTGTGGGGAAGCTTGGATCTCGCTAGAATGGGCAAGTGACCTATGACGGGCCGTGACCCTGCGGCTTCTGTCGGTGTTGTGAGCTTGCCTGATGATGTCGATTTGAATACTACAAAGATTGAAAAGACGAGGATGGCTAGGATTATTCCGGACAAGCGGGATAGGTCTTGAAGCAGAGAGTTCATTTTTTGCTGCGTATAACGTGCAGAAGCACGAGGAAACAGGTTGTGATGCGCTTGAGTGTTTCAAGCTCCACATTTCCTGCAAAAGACTGAAAAAAGCTTTGAAAATTCGTGGCTGGTTCCAGTGTTTGTGCTCGTGTCTCCATGTTGGGCAGCGGAAATCTATGAAGATAGATTTTATGTACAAATTTATGCGTTGTCCCTACTGACTTTAATTATGTTATTGTCTTGGGTAATATGGTTGGTGTTCGTCCTCTTAACTTGAAGTTTAAGAATGAATCACTATATTTGTGCATTTTCTTGGGACGATCTCCAAGAATACAAACCCCATGCGTCTTGTGTGATCATTCAGTGTCTGTGAGACGCGGGACTGTCGCATCCGAAAGAGATTAGTGGGATACCCAAGAAATCTCGAATAACCTCGTTAATATAATACGAGAGGCGTTTAATTGAGCATATTAACATGTTGCTAATATCAACATGACATGTTCAGATTCGTTTGTTTGTGCATTGCTTACTGGTTTGTGCGACCTCAAAGAGATAAGTCAAGTTGAAGTGGAGGAATAGGCCAAAGTACAAGATACATACATGTACATATGCTTTTTCATGTATATATTTTTTCGGTTCATGGTTGAAAATTCAGCAGGGGCGGCTCCACTGATCCGACTTCAATAAGCAAGAGTAGATTTCCCAAGTGTGGGCCCCGGGAAGACTGATGTTGCGATTAGAATTGCAATGGTGTCTGAATTTCCCATTGTCCAAATAAATTATGCCGTTTATTTCCCAAAAAATAAATAATTTAAAGAAATATTTTTTTAAAAAATAATTATTTAATCATTTGAATTAATTAATCAATTAAAATTATTTTTGTTATCAATAATAATTTATGTTTAAATATTTTCGTGTATAATATTTTTTTTACTTTTATAAGTGATTTTTAATTTTTTTTAAATCATTATTTTTGACTAAATAAATAGTGGAGAAATTGAAACCGACTCCTTCTTGCGGTCGTTGTCTTTAGGGATTATCGGTTCCTGGTCCGATCCGGTCTTACCTTGGTACCAGAAACCGGGGACCGGACCCGATCTGGTCCGGTTTCCAGACGGTTCACTGGAACTGATCAAAATAATCTTTTGTCCGTAGCTGTCATAATAATGATCCTGATTCAATTTGAAGATGAGTAGTAAATATGAAAATTTGCCCAACGTTGAATGACCAGTCCTATGATGGTGGTGTGCATTTGTGTTCTGCGAAAGTTGCTTCTCTCTCTCTACCTTCTTCTACTGTTTCCCTCTCCACCAAACAGGGACTTCAAAATCCAAAAAGCTTACCCAAAGTTTTCTTATCCTACGCACCTTCCCAATTTCAAAGTGGAATTTCTCCTGAATGTGGTATTTTGGAGGCGGGGCCGCGTTAGCGTCGTGGTTCGTGGGGCGAAATGAAAAGGCGAAAGGCGTGAGACGGGCATATTGGTGAGATTTTAGATTTTGAATTACATTTAAAAAAAAACAATCAATCCGGTTCCCCCCTTAGAATTGGGAACCGGACTGTTCGGAAGTGGAAACCAGACTGGCACTCTCAGGAACCGGACCGAACTATTTGGGTAGTTCCCGGTCCAATCGATCCGTTTTGCTCACCCCTAGTTGTCTTGCAGAAAAAGTGGCCAGTGAGAGGATGGGCGGGTTCCAGTTCGGCCCATGTGCATGACTTTTCATGGGCTCATTTTGAGCATTACATAGGATTTGTCAGTTCTGTTCATTCATTTGTCAATTTCTTTGTTGTATTTTTTCATTTTGTCAAATGATTTGGTATAATTCGACAAATCCTAAGGGTCTGCTAGGTAATGTTTCTGTTTTTGGGAACAATTTATGTTCATAAATAGTTTTTTCTAATTCTGTTTCTAAGAACAGTTTCTGAGCAAAAAAACGCGTTTGGTAACTATACAAAATTTCTATTTTCGAAATAGAAAAAGAACAAAAATACGTTTGGTACGACCTTCAAACTGTCTACTCCCAATTTTTTCATTTAATTATAAAATATGAGTGGGGATTTAACAATTCTTCATGTTTGGATAAAATTGAACTAGAAATAGAATCAGAATATATTATGATATAGAATTGGATGACCTTAATACAATCATAAAGAAAATTGCTCATTATAGACAAAGCAAATACCGGGTGGCGGTCGAGGAAATTGCAGTTTAGGGTTTGAGGTTTGGGTTTTAGGGTTTCGGGTTTGGAGTTTTGGGGTTTTATGATTTGGGGTTTGGGGTTTTGGGTTTAGTATTTCGGGTTTTGAGTTTGGGGTTTTAGGGATTCGGGTTTTGGGGTTTAGGTATAGGGTTTAGAGTTTAAGGTTTTAGGGTTTAGGGTTTAGTGTTTCGGGTTTGGGGTTTTGCAGTTTAGGGTTTAGGGTTTATGGTTTTAGGGTTTGGGGTTTAGTGTTTTGGGTTTAGGGTTTAGAGTTTTCGGGTTTCGAGTTTTAGGTTTAGGGTTTTAGTGTTTAGATATTGAGATTTAGGGTTTAGGATTTTAGAGTTAATGTTTAGGGTTTTAAGATTTTGGGTTTTGGGATTTAGGGTTTGAGGTTTAGGGTTAAGCATGGGAATACGTTGTGAGAGAGAGCTGATCTTGTTTCTCTTTTATTCCCAGGAACAAGAAGCAGATTTTTTTTACTTCTTGATTCTGTTCCAAATCTATTCCCTGGCTATTTTTCTATTCCGGGGAACAAAAGAATTGACTGACGTTATCAAATGGATTTCTGTTCTTTTTTTGTTCCAAGGAACAAAAGAATAAAAAATTAGAGAATCTGAAGCATTACCAAACATGCCCTAAGTAGTTCATCCCAAGATTTTACGTGCCAATATTTCTGAATCAGTTAATGCCACAATTTCAGTGTAGACTTATATCTCATTGTGCGCTTTTGTCTAGTTTAGCATCATCGATGACAATAAATTAGTGATATACGATCGTTCCTAGGAAATCCCTACCTCAGATACCAAAATCAAACTGATTTCTTTGCAAACAAGATTGTGCTTATATATGTATATATTGTCTGTTTTGGCTTAATTGTCAAAGCGAGGTTCGAACCATCATACTTACTCGCTTACTCTCTTGAGAATAAGCACCAGAAGATCATTTTAAGAGCGATTTTATCCCTATGGCCACCCTCAACTCTCACTTTGACATACATGTACAGCCCTTCAAGCTTCCTCAGCATGTTGGAGACGCCATATAGGTCAAAGTAGCCGTTGCAAACACTGTTCTTAGCTCGGAACCTTGCCCAAGATAGACTAAACTGCTTTTGCGAACTCGCTTGATAGTTGTTGGAGGAGGTATAGCTAAAGAAGATTCTTTTTTTTTTTTTTGTTGGTTTCAATTTCTGAAATCAAATTAGGTTTTGGAGGAGGTATAGCTAGTTTTTTGCAAATAATTCGAGATTTAGAGCCGAGGAAGTACTCGATTGACGTGGAATTGGTTGACCAGAAAAAGGCTATGGACGAGGTTCCTTCGATCACAACAATAACAAATAAAGAATGATGCTAGTACATAAAATTTAGGTGATGGATATGATGCGTTCATCGAAATACCAATCTACAATCTTATCATATTTCTAATTTTTTAGGTGAAGTTTAGTATACCAAATATTGCTATTAAATTAAGAGGCATAATTTGAGTTGGAGGGAAAATAATCAACGACATAATTACCAAGGAAGCGCCCTTTTTGGGGGGTCCTCTGTCGGTTCAACCTTGGGGGGATTTATTTGATAGAGTGGCTAACAAGACAAGGAAAATATTTTATGATCCTAACCACATGCGTCCTGCTGTTTTTTCTCATGCCCAATCTTTAAGGAGATATCCTAGGCCAGTTTGTCTATTTCAGGAACAGTGGTTGGTGTTCCAAGATTGAATTGATTGACTTAAGTGACCAAAAAAACAGAAGAAATGGGAAAAATTTCATAAACCATCCTCATTTTTTGGGAAAATTTCAAATCAGTACAAAAAATAAGGTCATTTTCTCAAAAATGCAACCCTCGCTCGCCCAGCCCAGGCGACCCTCGCCCGACCCTGGGTTGCCCTCGCCGGTGTCGGGCAAGGGCCGCCCTCGCCTGGGCTAGGCGGGGCGGGCGAGGGCGATCCTCGCCAGATTTGATGAGAGTAACCCTCGCCCTCGCCGGCATTGGGAGTGGGTCGCCTCGCTTGGGCTGGGCGGGCGAGGGTGGGCGGGCGAGGGCGACCCTCGCCAGATCCAGCGAGAGCAAGCCTCCCCTCCCCCCCCCCCCCCTCGCCCTCGTCGGATCTGGCTAGGGTCAACCCTCTCCCGCCCAGCCCAAGCGAAGGCGGCCCTTGTCCAACGCCGCCCTCGCTCGACGCCGGCGAGGGCAGCCTTTGCCTGAGGCCAGCGACCTCCGCTGGCCCCGGCTTTGGTCGGCGGAGGGAAGAGAAAAAAAAAAAGAAAAGGAAAATGAAAAGGAAAAGGAAAAGAAAAAAACTGAAAAAAGAAAAAAAAATTAAAAAGTAAAAGACGAAACTGCCCTTGTTCCGATCGCCGGAACAGTCACGTGCATGCCGGCCGGTGAGCATTTGACCGGCTGGCGAACTCAGGCCCTTATTTGAGACTGATTGGGCACTTCAGGCCCTTATTTGATACTGATTGGGCACTTCAGGCCCTTATTTGACACTATGTCTACTTTGGACCATTTTTTGAGAAAATGACCCCACTTTGGGTATTGATTTGAAATTTTCCCTCGTTTTTGTGCACACTCATCAAACACTGTTGAGAAGTTTTCGAAACATATTAGAACTTTAACTTTCGGGGGTCCCGCTTCGAGTTGCACCGGAGTTTTCTCGCTCTTTACGGGTCTACTATTTTCTTTCCAAATTTAATCATCTGTCATCCCAGACCGATCCATCACAAGATCCATTTAACAGGAACCCAAACCAAACCCAAGCTCATCCCCTCCTCCGTGCTGCTCGTGATTGCGTTATCTCCACCCAAAGCCTCGAGCCAAGCCACGGCATCGTCGCTGACAGCCACCCCCAGCCGTACTCTTTTCTCCCTCCATCCTCAACGTTCCTGTCACTGGGGGGTGTAATTGAGCCAAGCTGAGTTGATACCCTACGAAGCTTGCCTTTGACCCAACTTATATCCGCAATGCTTGAAACTTGACTCGAATTTGATTGAGTATTAATTTTCTTGCTTGAGCTTGACTTGATCAGAAAGTTGATAGCTTGACTCAATCTATTATGTTTGACCTGTAAATAAAAGTGGACTCGAGTTTAATGAACTCGAATATCATGTAATTTTAATTATATTGTGTCTATATTAACAAGTATTCAATGTCTTAGAAAAAAGAAGAAGCAAACTTAAATTAGGCTCGCGAGCTATTTATAGGATCGAGCTTGACTACACAAGATACTCAAATAGTTTGAATGCTAGCTTGACTCCAAATTAGGCGAGTCAATCTTGAGTAGTCATCGAATCGAGCACGAGGTACTCATGAGTAGCTTGACTCTCTCTCTCTCTCTCTCTCTCTCTCTCTCTCTCTCTCTCTCTCTCTCACTTGTCAACCCGACACCCACGTTCAAAGATTTATGTTGAAATGTGATCAAATTAAGTAGATAGATATAAAGAAATGTGGTAAGTCAATGAAGTATTTGGATTTTTATCGCAATCTTTTCTCTCATAGCACGTCCTTCAAACTTTTTACTCAACGAAATTTAATAAAAAACGCAAATCACCACATCTACATGTATTAAGTAAGACTGCACTTTGGGATGGCATTCATGACTCTGAAGATTACTCACGGACATCATATCTGCCGCATCAAAATTGAGGAACTACACAACCTCGTTCTGGAAGATAGATTTTTCAACTGTTTGGAATCTTTCAATATATATGTACGCCTGTGCAAGCGCTGGTACGTGTGAGGAGATAGTGAGGTAAGTAGGGCCAAGCAGAGCAGAAGGAGGAAGAGATACATTGTAATCATCCAATGCATGATAACGATGTTATGGCTATATGGAGATTGAATGGTCAGATCTCACTGATGACAACTAAACCTGTAGGATTGGCATATGGGCAAGGAAAGCATGAATGAGTCCATACACGACAGGTCACACAGTATGCAATTGCATGCAAGTGGTGAACGATAGTAATGACATTTGACATCGCCATGCAATCACGGACGCATCAGCCTTTTCATGCAAGTGATGTTCCAGGGTCAGCAACTTCAATCTGAAAAGTCTAGATATGTGATTATGTCTTTTTAAGAGCCACGCATGGAGAGAGTGCATACACATTCACTTAGTTGTACATTTCAAAGACCTTTCCTTTCATATGTAAACTATCCATTACCTCAATTGATAGAGCTCCTGAGTTAATCTTGGCCTGAGCATAACTTCAAGTGGGGTCGCCTTCAAATTTGTCAGTCCGAAGATCTCAGACATGTCCACTGGTGAATCATCCACGGTGGCTATCTCGAATGCTTGTAAGAACCTGGCTAGAAGAAAATGCACCATCTCGAGTGCGAAAGATATTCCGGGACAAATTCGCCTGCCGCCTCCAAATGGTAGGAGCGCGAAGTTGGAGTCCTTCACATCGACGTCCTTATGGTTGCCCAAGAACCTCTCGGGCCTAAACTCCAATGGATCGGGCCATGTCCTAGGGTCGGTTTGGATTTTCCAGATGTTCAAGATCAACCTCGTGCCCTTGGGCACGTGGTACTCGCCAACAGTGCAATCCTCGGTGAACAGGCGCGGCGCTGAGAGTGGGGCTGCCGGGTGTAGCCGGAGGGTCTCCTTCACTATGGCTTGTAGATAGGTCAGGCTGGCGATGTCCGCTTCTTTCACATGCCTCTGCTTGCCGATCTGATCGTCCAGCTCCATTTGAGCTTTCTTCAGGATGTGAAGGTTGTTGAGCAGTAGCGAGATTGCCCATGTCAGGGTAACCATCGCGGTGTCACTGCCACCTGCAATCATCGCCTTTAAATACAACAAACATGTTTTCCTCGTTAGAAGTGAGATATGAAGATTAACTACAACATCATTCGCAATCTAAATTCATGTGCCCTTCCCCTTCATGGGCAAGAAAAATGTGGTCCAATAACGAAAAAGAAGATGCATAATTTGTAATTGAGTCCAAATTTAGTCCCACTTCTTCTGCCCGTGATTGCAAGATGTTCAAAAGGGTCGCTGACATTCATTTAAAAATAAAAATAAGCCCACAATACTTTATAAAAAAAGACTTTAGTAAAATTTTTTTTTTGGTCAAGTACTTTAGTCCAACTTTAGCCCCTCTGATTTGAGCAGCTTTCCAAATTGAGTGCTCAAGCTTCTTTTTTTTTTTGTGCAAATTAGGTTCTCTAATTTACTTGATTTTCAATCTAAGTACTTTTAAATTATCAAACTGAATTATTTCAATGTGCGTATTTTCTATGTCATAACATAAAAGGGAGACAGTCTATATTTAAAAAAAGAAAATTGTTTTTTTTATTTTTTTGATATACTGAAAATAACAAAATGGCAGGACTAGACTAGTTCGCAATTCTACCCAAAACCCGCCCTAGCTGGTTCAGGTCTAGGCTTCGTTCTACGGTAAATTGGTTCGATTTTCAGTTCTAAATTTTCTAGAATCCATCGTAGCCTGTTAGATTTATATGATTCCAACTCTAGAACTGAACTGCCCGGATCATTCTCACCCTTGTTGAACTCAACTTAACCTATAGACGATCACCCCCTGACTATTTGATACGTGGGCAACTAGCATTATGAAGAAGAAAAGACTGCTCTAAGGGGGAGGGAACAAGAACTTACCAAGCATGTAGCTTTTATAATCGTATCAGCATCATAACCTCCCATTTCGTCATCGTTAAGGACCGAAAGCATGACGTCCATGAAATCTCTGTTGCCGTTGGTCTCACTCAAATCCTTATTATTCTTCTTGTGTTCCTCCAACCAACCACCGATGATGTCGTCCAGTTCTTCTGCAGTCCTCTTCATGGCCTTCTCATGTCCACCTAAGTCCAGCCACTTCAGGAAAGGAAGAGCGTCTGCCGCTAAGAACATCCCCAAGAAGTAGAAGAACTCCCGTAACGCCTTTTGGCACCGCTGCTCCTCTTCCTTGTCCGCCGTAGAGTAGCGCTTTCCGGCCACGATTCTGAGGATCACGTTCAGGGTCAACTTCGCAAACCACTGCTTCAAGTCGACTGTGACATGGCCTAATAAATCAGAATGAACTAGATGTTATATGCCAAATTGAAATTTTGATTACTCTCATGAACTAAAAGATTTGATGAAACGGATGCTCAATCTTGGACAATACTTCATTGATCTCCTGTGTCATTCTATCTAGTTTCTTTGGAAAAATTATCAAAAAAATCATAAATCTATTGTACGGATGCCAATTTAGTCCTAAATATTTTGACGATTTATCAATATAGTCATTCCAGCCAATTTTGACCGAAAATTATTGACGTGGACGCTGGTCATCCTACCTGGCACGACCGGTGCTAGTGTGGGCAATTTTTTTATTTTTTTATTTCTTTCTCTTCTTTTTTCTTTTCTTTTTTATTTTATTTTTTTTTTCACTATGATTGGGGAGGGTCTATAGAGCTAGCCGGCCACTAGGCGAGGGCCGCAAAACCCTCATTGGCCATGGGCGAGGGCCGCGAAGGCCTCGCCAGCTGCAAGCGAGGGCCTTGCCCAGATCTGGGTGAGGCGGCCTCGCCTGTAACCAGCAAGGGCTTTGCGACCTTGCCCAGTTGTCGGCGAGCCTTGGCGACCCTAGCTGGTATGGACGCCAAAAAAGTGCAAAACATGACTCGCTCTTAATCTAGAGAGAGTACTGTAACCGAAAATTCTAAATGTGATCATTTTCATGACCTTATACTATGAAAACGACCGGTGTTCACAGGAAAAAGAAAAATAATTAATACAAGGCCTATCATCAATAACCACCAAAAGCGCATATTGAATTATTATCAGTATCAGAAGAATACCTGAATCATCCTTGTTCTCAAGCCAAAGCTCATGCAGCTCTTGAACGACCACGTCCGCTTCTGAGGCCTGAACAGGGTTGAGCAACGAGTTGACCCTCCGGCTGGAGAGCAGCTCCAAGGTGATCATCTTCCTCATCCCGCGCCAGTATGGGCCGTAGGGCGCGAACGGGAACATGGCGTAGGAGTAACCCAGGATCTTCTGGGCCAATAGCCGTGGCCGAGTGGACAACGCGATGTCGTTCTTGGTGAAACACTCCTTGGCCATCTCAGAACCGCTCACCACTAGGGTTGGGTACATCCCGATCCGGATGGTGAAGATGGGTCCGTACCGGTCGGCCATGGACGCTAAGGTCTTGTGGGGAAGCTTGGATTTCGCTAGAATGGGCAAGTGACCTATGACGGGCCATGCCCCCGCAGCTTCAGGTGGTGTTTTGAGCTTGCTTGATGATGACGATTTGAATACTACAAAGATTGATAGGACGAGGATGGCCAGGATTACTCCGGACAAGCGCGATAGGTCTTGAAGCAGGGAGTCCATTTTTGCTGCGTATAACGTGCAAAAGCACCGAGGAAAATGGTTGTGATGCACTGGAGTGTTTCAAGCTCCATACATACTGCAAAAGACGAAAAAAGCATTGAAAATTCGTGGGTGGGTCCAGTGTCTGTGCTGGTTTCTCCATGTTGGGTAGTGGAAATCTATGACCATAGATTTTATGTACAGATCTATGCTTGTCCCTATGGACATTAATTATATTATTGTCTAAGGGTAACGTGAGGTCTTTGTTCTCTTAACTTGATGATTTAATCCGAATCACCATATTTATGCATTTTCTTGAGACGATATTTAAGAATACAGACCCCGTGCATCTCTTATAATTATTTGGTATCTATGAGACGCGAGACTGTTACATTCTAAAATGATTAATAAGATACTCAAGAAATATTGAATACCCCCATTGATATAACACGAGAGGTGTTTAATCGAACATACCAACATGTTGCTGTGCAGATTCGTTTGTTTGTGCAATGCTTACTGGTTTTTACAACGTCAAAGAGATGAGTCAAATTGAAGTGGAGGAATAGGCCAATGGATAAGATGAGTACATTTGTTTTCTTTCTGTTCATGGATCATGGTTGAAAATTCAGCGCAAAGGCGGCTCTAACGATTTGACTTCAATAAGCAAAAGTAGATTTCCCAAGTGTGGGCCCCGAGAACACTGTTGTTGCGGCTAGAATTCCACCTGTGGGCCTACACGTGGTTTTGAATTTTTCGACCGTCCAAATAAATTATTTCTGGTTCGATTTATTTCGCCAAAAATAAGAAATTCAAAAATATTTTTTATAATTTATAATAATTTTTTGTCTAAACATTTTCATATATAATGAAAATATTTTTTATTCATTTATTTTTATAAATGATATAAGTAATTATTTTTTATAATATATTTTTTAAATTATTTTATTTTCCGGAGAAATGAAGCCTGAGCGACTCCTCCTTGCGGTCGTTGTCTTGCAGAAAAAGTTGGCGGCAAGAGGATGGGTGGGGTCCAGTTCGGCCCACGTGCGTGAGAAAATATTAGGTGGTCCGGGACCTCCACGTCAGCGTGGTCCCGGACCAATCATGAAACGCCACGTGGGTATGTGGGGGTCCATTCAACTGAGGTGGAATTTTTGCACAATAATTAATTTATTTCTCTCTCCTTAGGCCTGCAGGCTAGCCCCTCACCTCTTTTCTCTCCTCTCTCCTCTCTTTCGTTCTTTCCTACTCATTATCAGAAGAAAACCAACGCATTTCCTCTCTCCAGGCTTTCAAATTATTTTGAATTTGTAATTTCGCTCTCAAATTTCACTCTCGGCTTCGGCGTTCCTGGTTGCTCCGGCCCTTGCTCCGTGGCGTTGTTGCTGCTTCGGCGTTCCTTGCACCCCGCCGTCGCCGACGAAGCACGTTAAGCCGCCCCTGCTCCGACGCTCGCTCCGGCGCTCGTTTGAAAAAATCCGACGCTCGCTCGCTCGCTCGCTCTCTACTCCAGGAGCCACTCCCTCCCTCTTGCTCGCTCCCAAGAGCCCCGCCGGTCGCATCCCAAGCTCAGATCCGCCTCCGCCATGGCATTTTGGGTTTAGCACATAACTGAGCTGAGCGTTCTCCTTCTCGTGTGTTCGTTTTCTCCCCGGCGCCAGATGAGACGAAGTCTAGGTGAAATGGAAGCGCATGGACTTGGGAACTTTCATTTGTATTTGCAGTTTAATCTCGTTTTGCAAGAAAATAGTGTATCGTTTGTTCTACTTGGGTTTATGAGGGTGGTGTTTGTAACCTACCTATATGTAGGATGTGCCGGAGTGCAACCGGTTCTCTTCAGTTGTTTTTTTGTCGAAGTTTTCCTTCAGTTTTTTTTTTTTGGTCGAAAAGTTCTCCTTCAGTTTAGGTAGGCTGTACATTGTTTGTTTTTTAATCAAGCATTATCACTGTTAACTTGTGTTTGTTTTGCTTTGCTTCATTGCCCTTCAGTGTCCGGCAATCGATCTTGGTGCGCCGTCCTCTGCAAGGCAGCCCCTGGATGTGCCAAATCTCGGACCCTTTGCTAGCTTCGAATGTTTCCAAGGAACAGCAGAAAAACATAGAAAAGCTTTTCCAACTGGCTCATTAGTGCACTTCTCCAGATCTAGCAAACCGACCACACATAGATGAGGTCTTGGCTGTCCTTGTAAAACTAAAAGGCTAAGCTAAAACTGGAAAACTTTTGATGCTATGATATTTGGAAAGCATTGTAGAGAGCATGTTGACTCCTGCTGCTTCTTGTACTAGCAGAACCAATTATAAGCAGGATAAAATTCACTGGCTCTTTTTGTCCCCTTTCTTCGTAAATTTTAGCGGGTTCAGTATGACGAAATAAAAAATCGCAACCCACTCTTGAATAACTTTGACAGCCTAGTTACTTGCATTGGATATCCTTATAACATCAAAGAATCCAGTTGCTTGTCCCGAGCTTCCTTCAATATTAAAGATCAAACTTGAAAATAAGATGGCAATGACAAGTAGAACAAACCTTGATAAGAGAAAAAAGCCCAGAAACAAGAAGTGCGCAAATATATCTTCTCTCTTCAAAGTATCACATTCCGACGAACAAGAGCACGACATAAACCATCAAAAGAAACTGAGAATTCCTCGCAAAAAACCAAAATGATCATGAGGATCAACCTCAAACTATTACACAATTACACGACGGGATTTTCCAAATCTCGGGCCCTCTGCTCGGGAAATCTAAGAGAATAATGCAAAAGGAGGGCGGAGGCTGAGGCGACGTGCCGGAGGCGGATATGAGCTCGAGATGCAGAGGCGGAGGCGCCGTGCCGAGGCGCTGGGTCTGGGCTCGGGATGCGACCGCGGGGCTCTTGTTAGCGAGAGAGGGAGAGAGAGAGAGAGGCGGGGAAAGTATTTTGGAAAAAAAGAGAGCGGGCTTCTTCTATTTCTCAGAAGATGCAGAAGAGAGAGGAGAGAGAGTGTCATATAATTGAAGAGGGAGCGAGAGGGCTTTCGTGCGAACGAAGGGAGAAGAGGGCCAGCAATTAATGAAGAGAGAGAAAAGAGGCAAAAATTTGAAGAGAGGAGCAATTAGCGTGCAGGGCTAATGGCCAATGAGAGAGAAATAATATTAATTTTTTGTGCAAAAAGTTCCTCTTAACGAGTCGGCCCCACAAGCGCAACGTGGACCACGTGGCGCTTCATGAGTGGTTTGGGACCACGCTGACGTGGAGGTCCCGGACCACCTAATATTTTCTCCACGTGCATGACTTTTCATGGGGCTCATTTCAAGAAAATATTAGGTGCATTTCACACACCACGTAGGATTTACAATAAACCGTACATTGATCGACACGTGTCCATATCGGGCCCACCCGTCAGAAAATTGTCTCCCCCTCCCCTCTCTCTGACGCGCTCTACTCTCCATCTCCTCTGCAACCCCACGCCCAACCCCCTCTCTCTAAAACCTTCGCTCATGCCTGACTCTCTCTCTCTCCCTCTCTAAAACCTTCGCTCATGCCCGACTCACGATTAGCTCTGCTCTCTAGTCCAACGAACCACGCCACCGCCTCCGCCTCCGCCTCCGATCCATCTCCGGCGACAACTTTCGAGGTATTAAACCTTCGGGGACTCCGGAATCATGGGACTTGTCGTACACGACATAGAACCCGTCGTCCTCGCTGACGTCACGAGTGTACCAATCGTCGACGCCGAAAGCCGGGGTCGAGCTCGTCTTCGGCTTGAAGACCCAACTGCAGTAGCTTCTGGACCGACCGTGAGATTCGGGAGTGATTCTTCGCCGTCGTCGAGGTCGCCGGTTGTGGCTGCGGTTGCAGAGGAGAAGGGGGAAGGCGCGGCGGTCAGGGTGGTGAGCATGGATACGGTGCAGGCGGAGATGGCGGAGTCGAGCTTGAAGGACTTGAGCTTGAAGAACAGTGTCGAGCGAAGGTTAGAGTGGGGGGGGGGGTGGGGGGTTGGGCTTGGGGTTGCAGAGATGGAGAGCAGAGCGCGTGAGAGAGAGGGGAGGGGGAGGGGGAGGGGGAGACAATTTTCTGACGGGTGGGCCCGATATGGACACGTGTCGATCATGGTTTATTGTAAATCCTACGTTGTGTGTGAAATGCACCTAATATTTTCTCGCTCATTTTGAGCATTCCACAAACTGAAGTACACATGGAAAGACTTCTGGATTTGTCAGTTTCTGTTCATTCGTTTGTCAATTTCTTTGTTGTCTTTTTTCTCGTTTTGTCAAATGTTTTGGCACAACTCGACGGAGTCTAGTTTCATCCCAAAGATTCTACGTGCCAATATTTCTGAATCAGTAAATGCCACAATTTCAGTGTAGGCTTATATCTCACTGTGCGCTTTTGTCTAGTTTAGCATCATCGATGACAATAATTTAGTGATACACAATTGTTCCTAGAAGATTCCTACCTCAAGCACCAAAATCAAACTGATTTCTATGCATACAAGATTGCTTATGTCTATTTTTTGTTTGTCTTGGCTGAATTGTCGAAGCGAGATTCGAATCATCGTACTTACTCGCTTACTCTCTTAGGAATAAGCATAGGAAGAATCATTTTAAGATCAATTTTATCTCTATGATCACTTTCGACTCTCACTTTGACATACATGTGCAGCCCTCCAAGCTTCCTCAGCATGTTGCTTCCTCAGCATGTTGGAGACTTCATATAGGTCAAAGTAGCCGTTGCAAACGTTGTTCTTAGCTCACATCCTTGCCCAAAATAGACCAAATTGCTTTTGCCAACTCACTCGATACTTCCTTAGCCAAAAATGGCAAATCCCTTCTAACTTCTCCATAATGTTTCTTTGTGGATTTCAAGTAATGAAATTGGATCCAATGCACCAATTTGAATTTGAATCAGATTGATTTAGAGTTGGTTCTTTGTTTTCAAGTACGTGAAGTATTGTTCACTCCATATGTAGCGTGAACTTTCTCTATAATGAAGTCCATTGAGACATGCAATTTCACTAAAGACCAATTTGTTCACTTTTTGCATCGAGGTCCTCCCAAGCACATTAAAGTACTCATGCTATCCAAGATGTTATTCTTGTATTTGGTTGTCCAGGCACCTCGACGATCGCACGTCCCTCGCTTATATCTCAAGATTCAAATGCCTTTCCAACTCTAACTCTTTCCACTCAGTATTCCTTACTTCATTTATAGACTAAGAAAGCTCTCCACCAGCACAAACATCTTAATGTAAACATCATTTATTTATGAACTTGTATATCGAGAGGACATTGTATCTACACACTCAAATACTCATATTAATTCGTGCAAAATATTTTGCCTTCAAAATACATATGGAGCTTTCTCAACACCTTTAACTAGATTGTTAGTCGAGGTATAAATAAATTAGTTCATTGCTTAGTTGGTAATCATGTTGAAGTCGTTTCTATGAGCTTTGGGCTAAATCCACGCCTGGCCACCCCTTGAGTATAAGCTTATAATGTGAAGATCCGCTCTAACCTAGTCTTGGTTTAGCTCCGATTTTTATAAATTCAACTCCTGGATGGTACGTATAAGTCAACAGTCATATTAGGCTTTAAAGTTGTTCCTATGAGGCCTGAAGATCTAAACCCTGACTCGTCACTCCTAGTACTTAATTTTCTTAATGCCAATATTTGGTCGAACTCCTAGTTATATATTTATTTTGTATATATGAACTAGATCGAACTAGACACCAATAGCCGGTAGAACCAATCGGTCCAATTAGGTGTCCGAATCATTGGTTTTGGCTTGTTTATCACATCAACCACTAGTTATTGAGCATCGGCATATAAGTGAGATGACATTGATAATGAGTATCCCGATTTTCAGCACTTAACACAATAATGAAATAAACCCTAAGATTTACATGAAGAACTACCACTATTCCATTAACGTACGAAAAGCATATAAGATCAAATCACCGTTGTCTATGATGTGTCAATGCGGATGACTTTCTTAACTACATAGGAAAGCCCATACACGTTCGTTCGGCTGGTACTTACAATTAGCTTCTTCTAACAGGCTCTTCATCGTTTCACGCTCTAGACTGATTCGTACAACTCGCGAGGTAATCTTGGCGTGAGCACAACTTCAGGTGGCCTTTGTTTTTTTATGGTTGCTCCAAAATCCTCGGACATGTCCACTGGGGAATTGCCAGGAGTAGATACGTCGAACGCATGCAAGAACCTAGCCAAGATAAAATGCAGCGACTGGAGTGCAAAGGACATTCCAGCACAAATTCTTCTACCACCTCCGAATGGTAAGAGCTCAAAATTATGGTCCTTCGCATCAATATCCTTATGGCTACTCAAAAACCTCTACGGCTGAAATTTCCATAAGTTGAACATCATCCTCGTGCCTTTGCGCACATGGTACTCACCAATAATACAATCCTCAGTGGATTGGCGTCCAAATAGGGGGGATGCTAGGTATAGGCGGAGGGTCTCCTTTATTATAGCTTGGAGGAAGGCTAAGTTGGCGATGTCCGACTCGATCAGATGTCTTTGCTTGCCAATGTGATGATGAAGTTCTTCTTGAACTCGTTTTAGGATGGGGAGGTTGTCCAACAACAGAGAGATCGCCCATGTTAGGGTGGCCATGGTTGTATCGCTACCTCCGGCTATCATTGCCGTCCAAAAAGGAATATAAAAACATTAACATATGTCTTATTAGAAGTGAGACAATATCTGTGCAATGGAGGATGCATATATCTAATTAGTGAAAGCTAATTAGATGAAAGTCTATATTCCCATTCCCTTTGCATATATCTGTGCAATGGAGGATGCATGGAGCATAGTTTAAGAGGTAGGATAAAAAGTTGTCTGGTAAAGTTTAGTTCGACGGTAGGGGCAGTGAAATAATTTTTTTTTATGTGAAACTTCACAATTTATTATAAGAGGTTACACCAAAACTGTGGTGAAAAATGCCACGACACTGTTGGCCCCCTCCGAGACATGAATGCTATCCTCAGTCACCAGTAATAGACTAATACTTACATAAATCTTGTTTAAAAGAATTATTGTATGGCCTATGTAAATCAAATCTATCTCAATCATTATCATGTAGACTCACTACAAAAAAACATGGATTTTGCCACGAAAATTTGCGACGGGGAATTTTTCGTCGCTAATTTGCGATGGAATTTGCCACGAAATAAAAATTCGTCGCAAATTAGCGACGGAAAATAATTCCGTCGCAAAATCCGTCGCAAATTTGCGACGGAAAATAAATCCGTCACAAAATCCGTCGCAAATTTGCGACGGAAAAAAAAAATCCATCGCAAATTTGCGCCAGAAATAAAATCGGACGCAAATTTGCTACGGAAAAATAAATCCGTCGCAAATTTGCGACGGAAAAAAAAAATCCGTCGCAAACTTGCGACGGAAAAAAAAATCTGTCGCAAATTTTCGACGAATTTAGCGACTGAAAAAAATTCGTCGCTAATTTGCGACGAATTTAGCGACGAAAAAAAATTCGTCGCAAATTTGCGACGAATTTAGCGACGGAAAAAAAATTCGTCGCTAATTTGCGACGAAAAACAGTCAAAAAAAGGATTTAGCCACGGATTTAAATTTAGCCACGGAAAAAAAATTCGTCGCTAATTAGCGACAGATTTAGCGATGAAAAAATCAAATAAATTTTAGTAATTAAGTAAAATAACAGTTAGTAATAGAAAATTAATTGGTATTAAATCGTCAAATTGGATTAGTAAGTCATGCAAAAAGAAGCATGACTCAATATAAAAATTGGTAAGTTAAAAAACCAAATGGGTAAGCAACTCAAATTAGAGTTGACAATCCAAAATTAATTGGTAACTTAATTGGGCAAAAGTTAATGAGGCACACAAAAAAGTTGATAATTTCATGTAATAGAAGGTAAATTCAAAGCTGGTAGAAAATTAGAAATGTATTTTTGTTAGAGATAAGAAAAGTCGGTCATTTCAAAATAGAAAACCAAATAAACATTGGTAAGTAACTCAAATAAAAGAAGGTAACATAAAACTAGTTAGTAACTTGATCGAAAAAAGTTGGTAATCACTCTAATAAAAGTTAGTAATTTCTAAAAGAGCCAGTAAATTTAAAAAGTTGGAAACCAATGCAAATAAAAGTAGCAACGTAATAAAAAGCTAGTAAATTTGAGAAAATAACAAATAAATGCTAATAACTCAATTGAGATTTGGTAATCCAAAACTAATTGATTTGATTGGAGAAAATTTACCCAAATTACGCAAAGAAAGCTAGGCTGATAGTTTCATATAATACTCGGTAAATTTAAATTATTGGTAAGAAATGTAAATAAAAGTTCGTAAACAATGACTGAAGCTTTGTTTGGTTAGAGATTAGAGAAGTTGGTGTAGAAAAAAAAATGAAAATAAACATTGGTAAGTAACTCAATTAGGAGTTGGTAATGCAATATGGTAAACTTGATAGAGGAGAAGTTGGTAATCACTCTAAGGGTACCTTTGTTTTGCGGAAAACTTAATGATAAAGGAAAGTGCTTTCCGGAAAATAATTTTCCATGAATACGCTTAGTTTTCATTTGTTTAGTGATATATGATGGAAATCGTTTTCTGATGATTGGATTTCATTAGAAAATGATTTCAATCTCATGACTTTATTTTAGATAAAAAAAATCAAAAATTTTTTAAATATTTTTATTTTAAAAAAGTCAAATTTCTTAATTATTTTTTATTTCTCTTTTTTATTTTCTTTTTTGTAAAAATTTGAATTTTTTAATTCGTTTTTAAAAGGTCGTCGCTAAATCTGTCGCTAATTAGCGACGAAAAATAAATTCGTCGCTAATTTACGAGGAAAAAAAAAAAAAACCTTGCGACGAAAAAAAAAATCCGTCGCTAATTTTGCTTTGCCCGCCCGCCCTCACCCCCATTTTCTCTCTCTCGGTCTCTCTCTGCTGATTCCTCAGATCCCCTCACCCGGTGCTTTCGCTTCTCCTTCTCCTTCTTCCCTCCCCCACACCCCCAAACCTCTCGCGCTCGCTAGGGTTTTCGGTACCCTTTCCCCCCCTGCGCTTCCTCCGGCGACTCCTCGCCATGGCCTCCGGAGCCCTAGAGGCCGCAGAGGGGCGGCGGCTCCTCCCCCCGTCGAGGGCAAGGAGGAGCTCCCCGAGAAATTAGAGGCGGAGGAGGCGGAGCAAGAGGACCGAGAGATCGCCGCTCCGGAGGAGGAGGCCGAGGCTTCCGACGAGGAGGCTCTGCTGGTCGCCGCCGAGGCCCCGCCGGCTGCGTCGCCTCCGAGAGGCCATGCCCGTGATGTCCATATCCTGAGTTGTGGGTTCCTGCTCATCTTCTCGGCCTACGGTGCTGCTCAGAATCTCGAGAGCACCGTGAACACCGTGAGTTTTCCGAGTCGATTTCGTTGGAATTTTGGGTAAATTGAGAGAAGAAATCGACGGTCGTGAGATCAAAACCCAAAGGCAGATTTTGCACTTCTGGGTCTAAGGTTGCTTGTAGGAATGTTTTTTTGGTTCGTTTCACGTTGCGTTTTGGTTTGATGAGTTTCTTGATTTTTGTTGCAGGCGGATAATTTGGGCACGACAGGCAACGCAAGTAAAGAAGAAAGGCAGACAGGCAACGCAACAAAGAGATATAGAATCTACAGTAGAGAACATTAGTGATTTGGAGGATGATCAAAGCCATCGTGTGGGGAAGTCGCTTTTACACTCAGTGAAGTGGGAGCGCATTATTTTGGATGAGGTGAGTGAATGGGAGTATCTTGCGGTGATATGAGTGCTAACATAGTTCAATGCTTTGTAACCGATATAAAGATTTCGATATGTCCATGCTGGCAACACGTGATTCGTTATTTTGTTTGGCTGGGTGAAGCCACGCATGAATGCGTTAATTTGCTCTTGGCAAGACAGATTTCTGTAAGATTAGGCCTTTCGATTGAAGGTTTGATTACTTTTAGGGAACCGTATATGCATGTTCTTTTCCACAATTTATCAAAAAAACTTCTATCCGGGATCTCTTAGTATGATTTGCTTCGTGATCTTTGAACATCTGCATGTACATTTCCCACTTATGCCTATGCAATTTTATTCAATGTAGGCTCACTTTGTCAAAGATAGGCGATGTAATACTGCAAAAGCAGTTCTCGGACTGGAGTCTTCATACAGATGGGCTTTAAGTGGAACACCTCTTCAAAATCGTGTTGGGGAGCTCTACTCTCTTGTAAGTTTCTATTTTATACGAGTGGTTAATTGTTATTCACCTTCTGTAGTCAATCACATTGTCTTGCAATAAACTTTTCGGGTCCGTTTTCTTCGAATTGTGCCGTATTCATTCTACTTATGTCAAGATTGTGATTGCAGAACACTTGATTATAGGTATGTAAAGTTTCAATCACAAGATAATCGGGTTATATTTTCCCATGGGTGGTTTCTGGTATAACAGGCAATCTCAGCCTGTAGGACCGTAGTCATTCATGTTGACACAAAATGGTTAGAGGCAACTACACGTGCAAAAAGACCGGTTTAGCGACTTGGTATACCAAATAATGTGGCAATCTTTGCATAGATATTTAAAGAAGCAGTGCATGTGGCATTCTTCGCAAGAGTACTTAGCGTCTCTATGAATGGTAAAGTACAAGTTAGCTACATCCATTTAATCTTTGCTGCTCGGTTTTCATTTGAACTCTGATATGGAGTATATATTCTATCTAGTATATAGCGAATCCTATACAAGCACATGGAAATGCCGTTGGCAGAAGGCGAGCAATGATATTACTAAAACACAATTTTGAAAAACATTTTGCTGAGACGCACAAAAAAGGGAAGAGCTGCTGATCTTGCACTTCCACCTAGAATTGTGAGTTCTCTTGCACATGTGTACAATTGCAATTCGGCATGTCGAAGATTTTTAACTTAAATCCACCGCTTCCTGCTCTCTTCACTTTCCCTGCAGGTTACTTTGAGGCGGGATACACTGGACATTAGAGAAGAGGATTATTACACATCATTGTACAATGAGAGCCAATCTAACCTTGTGCGGTGTGCATATTGATTGGTAGGTCCATTAATCTAGGCTTCTTAATTTGCTCTTTCAGAGAATCAATTAGACTGAAAATGTGTCACCAGAAATTTCTAGCAATTGCTTTCATGGCCTAAAGATATATAAATGTTCTAAGTGCAATCCTTTTAATTTTGGATGCGAAATTTTGGCAATTGTAGGTATTTCACTTTCTTCTCTGGGCTTGTGGGACTTTGAGTATCGCATTGTATGTCAACAAGTGAATGTCACTTCTTTGGAGGAGGTGATGAAGCACTTCATGCAAACCTTATAGGAGAAAGCAGAGTGGGCGCAAGATTGGAAGTATCTTTTCATACATATCGAGGATAAGCTTTGCTTCAGCATCTTCAATGCCAGAAGTGCAGTTGGCCCAATATGTTCCTGCCCTGGAAAGAATTGCCACCCTGAGATTGCTTAAGCAAGTGCTTTAAAGTGCTCAAGATTATTTATTCTCTCATTATGTGTACTATAAAGAAAAATATATATGTCATTCTTGGGGAAAATGTAGAGGAATGTATTTCATTTTCATATTATTATAATATTTTGATGTTATTAAGTGCTTAATCAATGTTAAATATAAATTGTAGGAATTAATTTTGCTGTTAATTAGATTTAAAATCGAAGTCGTCCCTAAACAATATTCGTCGCTAAAGAATTAATAAAAATTCGTCGCTAAATAATTAATAAAAATTCGTTGCTATTATTGACCAAAAAAAAAATTACGGACCCAAAAAAAATTGGCAAATTAGCGATGAAGTTTTATTTTGGTTGAAATTAGCGACGAATTTTGCCACGAATAATTAGCGATAAATAATTAGAGACGAATAATTAGCGACGAATTATTTGTGACGAATAATTTGCGCCGAATAATTAGCGACGAATTTTGTGACGAATAATTAGCGACGACTTTTGTGACGAATAATTTGCGACGAATATATTTCGTCGCTAAATTTTGCGACGCCGAATTAGCGACGGAATTTTTTCGTCGCTAAAACCTCATTTTTTTGTAGTGGAATTTTGCGACGAAATTTGCGACGAAATTTGCGATTAATTTTGCGACGAATAAAGTTCGTGACTAATTTGCGACGAATTTTTTTCCGTCGCAAATTCGATTTGCGACGGATTTTGCTAAATTTTTCGTCGCAAAATTCGTCGCTAATCCCTTGTTTTTTTGTAGTGACTCCATAATAAGACTCATATAATCAATACTCAAGATGATATTGGTTCATATGATTTATGTACCATCTAATAACTTTCATTTTACAAGGTTTGAAATATCTATATCTCATCGTTCTATTGAGCCCTATTAGCTAATGCATTTATCCTTGACACATTTTTGATGTGATGTGTATCCACTCAACTAATAGTCCTCCCTCAGACCAAAAAGTCCTCCCTTTCATAATTGTTAAATCGCAGGCACAAGGATTGGGAAAGAGACACCATTATCAACTGTGCTGTGATATCTACGACGCATAGCAAGAGACGTTGACATATTGTGTTAAAATTCTATTTTTATGTACGTTATCTATTCCGTTACACAAGTTGGGAAAAAGATGATTAAGATTAAGGAAGAGCGCAGCCAATTTCCTAATGCAAAAGACACGTGTGTAGTTTTGCACCATGATCAGCGTTCAAGAAGAAACCATAACTCCATCGAAAAGGGGAGGGAACAAATTAAGCATACCAAGCATGTGGCTTTGGCAATTGTATCAGCATCATAACATGCGATATCCATGCCGTTAAGAGTTGAAAGCATGACGTCCATGAAATCTTGATCATCCTGAGACTTGTCCAAGTCGACCTTCTTCTTCCTTTTGTGTTCCTCTAACCAATTACTTAGGATCGTGTCCAATTCTTTCATAGTCCTCTTCATGGCTTTCTCATGCCCACCCAAATCAAGCCACCGCAAGAAAGGAAGAGCATCCGCCACTGTAAACGTCCCCATCAAACGGAAGAACTCCCTCACTGCCTCGTGGCACCGCCGCTCCTCCTCCTCATCCATCGCAGCAGTGCTGCTGTAGTGGCCCGTGTCGGCTACAACGTTAAGGATCACATTCAGAGTCAGCTTCGCAAACCATTGCTTCAAGTCTACCAAGATATGGCCTGTGTTAGACAAAAGAGCAAACACGACGTTATGTGATAAGGCTGTCGCTGTTTTTCTTAAGCTTCCCAAGAAAGAACATAAAAGATTTTTAATAGTCGTCGAGCTAGCGAGCACTGCCACACAGGCCCTACTCATCCCTCCATCGCCTCTGCAACTCGCGATCTCCACTTGAACTCCGGGGACCTTGGATCTGAGGTCGCCCGAGGTCCAGGACCCCGGCCTTAGGTCGCGAGGTTGGCTTTTGAGCCCCCTCCTGACGCGACTCGAAGATAGAGAAATACAATGATGGACGCCAAAGCAGGCTGTTGGCGACTGCTGGAGGAAGGGAGAGTGGGTATGGGTGGTTTTCGTAGTGAGGTCGATTGGAAGAAATTTTGAGAACTTGACTACGACCACAACGCATAAGACGTCTCAGGAAAAATCGTTTGCTCTAAGACTTTTCCCATACTTATTGGTCCACTTGAGCGCCTTCAATGGTGCTCACACAGAACGCTCGACTTTCTTCAATCTAAGCTACGCTGTTATTAAAATGGATAATCACGAAACTAATGTACCTGAATCATCCTTCTTCTCACTCCAAAGCCTGTGCAACTCTTTAATGGCGAGATCCGTCGCAGAGGCCAGTACCGGGTTGAGCAATGACTTGATCCTCCGGTTAGAGAGCAGCTCCACGGTGGCGATTTTCCTCACCTCGCGCCAGTACGGACCGTAGGGAGCGAACGCGAACAAGGCATAGTCACAACCCAGAATTTCAAAGGACAGAAGCCGCGAACGAGAGGAGAAGGCGACATCGTGTATGGTGAAGCATTCTTTGGCTATCTCAGAACTGCTCACCACCACGGCCGGAAACGACCCGAGCCTGAGGGCGAAGATGGGTCCGAACTCGTCGGCCATGGACGCTAAGGTCTTGTGGGGAAGCTTGGATTTTGCTAGAATGGGCAAGTGGCCTATCACGGGCCATGCACCTGCAGCTTCTGGTGCTGTTTTGAGCTTGCTTGATGATGATGGTCTTGATCTCCATAACACACGGAACGATAGAGCAAGAATCACAAGGGGCCCAACCAGATTGATGAAGTTCAAGCTTCCAAGTAGAAAGTACATTTGGGCATCAAGTATGAACTGTGCACTAATAGAGTCGACAATTTATTCCGACTTGAAAAAAGTATATCCTATGAATTTGATATTCGATTTACTTTTGGATTTTTTTTTTACGATTTTCTAGGAGTCAGGAAAACTACTCAAGACCTTTCATTAGATTCAAGGGGAGCATACATTTCTTGGATGTCAAATCACAACAGACCTTTCAACCGAGAAGATAAGGACGAATTGGAGTATATGTTTCCTAATTTCTCCTCAATGCACAACGGCTAACCCTATTGGCCACCTTCAATGGCATTTTTATAGAAAATATTGGTTTGTGCCGACTTCTCATGCATCACTTAAGGATTGGCACATGTCCACAGCGGGGCTCACTTTCACCCTCCCCTCCTTCAGTCACTCTCCCCAAATCAATCTCGCTGGCATCATTATATAAAAATATTGAGTAGATCTATCTTGCCACGTCAGGGCAAGCCACTCCATTCAGCTTACTTCATTTGTTCATACAAGTTACTCTTCAAGATTTTTTTAAGGGTTAATACCATGAAAAACCCTAAACTGGTACACTTGTGACACATTTACCCTAAATTATTTTTTTGATCATAAAAAACCCCAAACTGGTACACCTGTGATAATTTTATCCTGAACTATTTTTTTGACCACCAAAAACCCCAAACTGGTACACCTGTGACAATTTTACCCTGAACTTACCAAAAAAAACCCCAAACTGGTACATATGTGACAATTTTACCCCGAATTAAAATTTTAATATTATTTTTTTTTTATTTTTTTCGAATTTTTATTTATTATTTATTCTTTTCTTTTCTTTTTTTTTTATTTTCAAACTCTGGCCGGTCGCCGGTCCGGCGACTGGCCAGAGGCATAAACCGGCGAGCGGCCCTCGCCGGCGTCGGCGGCCCTCGCCGGCGTCGGGCGAGGGCCATCCTCGCCGGCGTCGGGCGAGGGCCATCCTCGCCCGCCCGGGGCAAGGGAGACCCTCGCCGACGCGGCGAGGTCGCCTCGCCGGATCCGGCGAGGGCGACCCTCGCTGGTATCGGGCGAGGGCCGCCCTCGCCGGATCGGGCGAGAGCCATCCTCGCCCGCCCAGGGCAAGGGAGACCCTCGCCCGACGTAGGCAAGGGTCGCCCTCGCCAGATCCGGCGAGGGCGACCCTCACTGGTATTGGGCGAGGGCTGCCCTCGCCGGATCTGGCGAGGGCCACCCTCGCCTGAGTCGGGCGAGGACGGCCCTCGCCCGACGCAGGCGAGGGTCGCCCTCGCCCGATTCCGGCGAGGGTTGCCCTCGCCGGACGCCGGCGAGGGCGGCCCTCGCCCGACGCCGGCGAGGGCGGCCCTCGCCCGACGCCGGCGAGGGCCGCCCTCGCCGGCTTCCGCCTCTGGCCGGTCGCCGGACCGGCGACCGGCCAGAGGTTGAAGGTGAAGGAAAAAAAAAAAGAAAAGAAAAGAAAAGAAAAAAGAAAAAATTCAAAAAAATAAAAAAAAAATAATATTAAAAATTAGTTCGGGGTAAAATTATTACATGTGTACCAGTTTGGGGTTTTTTGTGGTATATTCGGGATAAAATTGTCACAGGTGTACCAGTTTGGGGTTTTTTATGGTCAAAAAAATAGTTTGGAGTAAATGTGTCACAAGTGTACCAGTTTATGATTTTTCGTGGTATTAACCCTTTTTTTAAATGCTTCATGTTGTCCGTTACTCGCTCTCTTCCTTTATTCTATTTTCCGTTACTCTCTCTCTCTCTTCTCATGCTCTTTTCTTCTTCCACTCTTTTTGAAATAGTCACCAATTTGCTTACTCTAACATTACTTTGTTAACTCAGCCTATTGCTTCAAGTTTTGAGTTCGAGTTCACAAATATGCTCTCTGCATCCAACTTTGTTTGAATCCATGTATTATAATAAGTTTGTTTTTTTCTCGTAACTTCGTGCACCTCCAAAACCATCATTCCAAAGCAGCAATAGAATACCAAACTTATCCCAAAACACGAGCAGAAAGCAAAATCGAAAAACTTAAACTGATATTCTATTTACCGAAATATATATCCCATTGCACATCAAACCAAAAACCCCACAAGTTCATTTCTTGGAAATACGAACCTCACTACAAATCTACAACTATATCACTAACTACAAATAAAAACCCTCCTAAAATCACATCCATGGCGGTCACCTTTTTTTGGAGTGCGTGCTCCGTGTACGTCAAGGTGTTGTGGATCACGTTCTCCAGGAAAATTTTCAACACTCCGCGCGTCTTCTCGTAGATCAGCCCACTGATCCCCTTCACTCCCCCACGGTGGGCCAGTCGCCGAAATGCCGGCTTCGTGGAAGGTCCTCTTGACGCCCC